CTTCACTGTGAGAAAACCTCCTGTTGCCAAATGTCATTTCTCACCTAAGGAGTCATATTAGAAAATCACACAGCTTCGAGCCTTATTCTCCATCTGAATTCATCCTGGAAAAACACCCAGTGGTTATTATGCACTTAGGAAAACCTTTAGCTCCATCTTTGTAGTTAGTTTACAGTGCAGTGTTATCTCAGGAATTTTTATAAAAAGAGGTGACATAGAAAAAATGAAATGCAGACACTGCTTCTTTTACACTGTTGTCATATGTACGTTTCTGTCCCACGTCAGGAAAGTTAGTAAGGCAAGATCTGGAAACTTACTGAATGTCTTTGTTCTACAACATTGTCTCTTCTTAAGAAGCATTGTTTTTATGAGAAATATGAAGGCTTGAGTTATGAAATACTTTTATATTTAAGGATTAAAGGACACATGAATGCGCACATTTTATTCCACCACTTAAGACTGTTTAAGTCTTTGATTTGGAGAAAAAAAAAAAAAAATCCTTTTTTAATGGGTTTTGAACACTTAACAGAATTTTTCTTGATTCCCATCTGTTGGTTTACTCGACTGCTATAGCTGTATGGTAAATCTCAAAATTAGGTAATGTGATTTCTTTTTTCTTATTTTTATTTAAAATTCATTTAGCATTCCTAGTTTCTTTGACTTTCCATATACACTTTAGGATTGATTTTCCTGTTTTTCAAATATTCTTGCTTGGATTTTGATATAATTGAGTTAAACCTGTAGATCAATATGTTGAGTATTGGCATCTTAGCCTTCCAATTCATGAACATGGCATATCTTTTCATTTATTTAAATTTTCTTCGATATATTTCATTACTGTTTTATAGTTTACACAGTATAACTCCTGCACATTTAAAATAAGATTTATAGCTTCATAGTTTTTTGCGTGATTGTAAATGGCATTGATTAAAGTTTCAGTTTTCATATGATGTTGGCTAGTATACAGAAACATTATTTTTTCCATCTTATTTTGCTGTCTTGCAACTTTCCTAAACTCATCATTTCTTGCCATTTCCTTTGGAATAATCCTTAAGATTTTAAACATAGAAATATCATTTGCAATTTGGGACAGTTTTATTTCTTGCTTCCCATCTGTACACCTTTTATTTACTTTTCTCATGTTATTGCACTAGGTAGGATTTCCAGTGTGATACTGAATACAAATAGTGACAAGTTATCCATGCCTTGTTCATGATATTAGGGGGGAAATGTTCGGTTTCTCATTAATGTGATGTTGAAAGTTTCTTCCAAAGAGTTTCTCTATCAAGTTTAGAAAGTTTCTCTCTATTCCTAATTTGCTGGGATTTTTTGGTTATTATTAATAAGTGTTGAATTTTGTCACTTGCTTTTTCTCCACTGATTGATTTAATTATGTCATGTTACTTCTGTAGTCAGTTGATGTGTTACCTTGACTGAGTTTCGAGTATTGAACCAGCCTCACATCCTTGTGATAAGCCCTACTTGCTCATGGAGTATAATTTTGTTTGTATACTATGCTACAGTATTTAATTTGCTAGTATTTTGTTGAGGAAGCTTCCCTCTAATTTCATGAGTGATAATCTAGTTTTTTTTTTCTTCAACTGTTACTGTTTGGTTTTGATGTCTAGATGATAACTAGCCTCCTAACATGAGTTGGAAGGAATTATCTTCTGTTTTTTTGGAAGATCATATGTAGAATTGGTGTTATTTGTTCCTTTAATGTTTGGTAGCATTCTCCAGCAAACAAGTGGGACCTGGAGATTTTCCTTTTGGATGCTTTTTAATTATGTATTTATTTTATTTAATAGGTATAGAACTATTCAGAGTATTTCATATTGGATGAATTTTTATAGATTTTCTTAAGGAAGTGTTCATTTTATGTAAATATTCTCATTTGTAGCATTCTTTGAAATATTTCCTTTTAGCCTCTTGTTGGCAGCAGGATCTGTACTTAACGTTCCTTGTTGTATTCTTGATATTGGAAATGTATCACTTATTGTCGGTCTTGGTAGACATATGTCAATTTCATTGATCATTTCAAAGAAATAGCACTTTATATCACTGATTTTTCTCCACTTTCTCTTCTTAATTTCACTGATATCTGCTCTGATCCGTATTGTATCCTTCCTTCTACTTGCTTTGGTTGTATTTGACTCAGTGGTTTCCTGAGGTGGATGTTTAGGTTATTGATTTGAGGCTTTTTTCTTTTTTCATATAAGCTTTAAGTTCTATACATTTTTCTTACAGTGCTGTTAGTTTCATCCCACAAGTTTTAATATGTTTTTGATTATCTTACTCAGTTCTAAGATTTCCTGATTCCTTTTGAGACATCTTCTCTAACCCATGAATTATTTAGAAGTATATTGTTTAATAGTATTTGGAGTATTCCCTGCTATTTGTTATTGATTTCTAATTTGTTTTGCATTTGATGTTAAATTTGTTGACTTTTTTTCCTTATGATCCAGGATATAGGCTGTCTTGTTTCATATAGCTGCTTGAAAAGAATGTGTGTTCTTGGTCATTGGGTGGAGTTTCTATAAATGTTTGTATGATCCTGTTAGTTGGTGGTGTTATTTAGGTCTCCTATATCCTTGCTGATTTTCTGTCTAGTATTTCTATCAATTGCCAAGAGAGGGATGTTGAAGTCCCGAACTATAATTGTGGAATTATCTATTCCTTCTTTAAGTTCTATCAGTTTTTGCTCCACATAATTTAAAGCTCTGTTGTTTGATATATACACATATAGGTTTGCTTAGTAGTCTTGGTGTATTGACCCTTTTATAACTAATGTCCTTTTTTGCTCCTGTTAATACTCTTATCAGTTTTTATCTGATATTTGTGTGGTCACTCTTACATTTTGGGTTAATGTTTGCATGATTTATACATTTTCATCTTTTTTTTTTTTTTTTTTTTTTTTTTTTTGAGACGGAGTCTCGCTTTGTTGCCCAGGCTGGAGTGCAGTGGCGCAATCTCGGCTCACTGCAAGCTCCGCCTCCCGGGTTCACGCCATTCTCCTGCCTCAGCCTCCTGAGTAACTGGGACTACAGGCGCCCGCCACCTCGCCCGGCTAATTTTTTCTATTTTTTGTAGAGACAGGGTTTCACCATGGTCTCGATCTCCTGACCTTGTGATCCGCCCGCCTCGGCCTCCCAAAGTGCTGGGATTACAGGCGTGAGCCACTGCGCCCGGCCACATTTTCATCATTTTTTAAAACCTTATCTGTATCACTATATTTGGAGTAAGTTTCTTGTGAACAGCATATATGTGGGTTGTGATTTTATATCCAGTTTGCATATCTTTTTTTTTTTTTTTTTTGAGACGGAGTCTCACTCTGTCGCCCAGGCTGGAGTGCAATGGCGCGATCTTGGCTCACTGCAAGCTCCGCCTCCCGAGTTCACGGCATTCTCCTGCCTCAACCTGCTGAGTAGCTGGGACTACAGGTGCCCGCCACCACACCCGGCAAATTTTTTTGTATTTTTAGTAGAGACAGGGTTTCACCATGTTAGCCAGGATGGTCTCAATCTCCTGACCTTATGATCTGCCCACCTCGGCCTCCCAGAGTGCTGGGATTATGGCTTGAGCCACTGCACCTGGTGTTTTTTTTTTTTTTTGAGACGGAGTTTTGTTCTTGTTGCCCAGGGTGGAGGGGAGTGGTGTGATCTCGGCTCACTGCAACCTCCGCCTCCTGGGTTCAAGTGATTCTCCTGCCTCAGGCTCTTGAGTAGCTGGGATTACAGGCATCTGCTACCACGCCTGACTAATTTTTTGTATTTTAACAGACATGGGGTTTCACCATCTTGGCCAGGCTGGTCTCGAACTCCTGACCTCAGGTGATCCACCCACCTCAGCCTCCCAAAGTGCTAGGATTACTGGTATGAGCCACTGCACCTGGGTTTTTTTTTTTTTTTTTTTTTTGAGATGGAGTCTTGCTCTGTCACCCTGGCTGGAGTGCAGTGGCGCAATCTGCAACCTCCGCCTCCCAAGTAGCTTGGATTACAGGTTCCTGCCACGACACCTAGCTAATTTTTGTATTTTTAGTAGAGACGGGGTTTCATCATGTTGGCCAGGCTGGTCTCAAACTCCTGACCTCAGGTGATCCGCCACCTCAGCCTCCCAAAGTACTGGGATTAAAGGTATGAGTCACTGTGCCTGGCCCCAGTTTGCATATTTCTGTCTTTTATTGGTGTATTTAGACCATTTAAAGTTTACAATAATTATGTTAGTGTTATGTCTACTATTTTATGATTAGTTTTTTGGTTTTTTGTGTTTCCTGTTGCTTCTTTCTTGAGTTTTTTGGGTTGGTTTGTTTGTGTTTTGGTCTTGAACATTTTTTAGAATTCCATTTGATATATTTGTAGTGTTTTTAAAATATATTTCTTTGTATTAATTTTTTTAGTGGTTGCTTTAAGTAGTATAATGTACATATGTAACATAATTACAGTTAATGGTATGAAAAATTTAGCACTTTGATGTATAGAAACCTTACTTCCATTGGTCCCTTTACCTTGCCTGTTAATATAATTGTCTAAAGTAATTCCTCTTCAAAATTGAGCACCATGTTGGAAAACGTAATTTTTGCTTCCACTGTCAAATATATTTTACAAAAGTCAGAGCAAGAATTGCTTGTTGATCTCTTTACCCATTCCACTATTCTTTCTTGAAATTCTAAGCCACCTTCTATTAACATTTTCTTTCCGTTTGGCGAACTTCTTGTAGCCTTTTTTCTAGAGTCGGTCTACTGGTGTCTCTAAACTTTTATGTTCCCTTCTTTATGTTCCCTATGTCTTTATGTTCCCTTCATTCCTGAGGGATGTTTTTGTGCGATACAGGATTTAGGGTCTGCAGTTCTTTTAGTACTTGAGAAACATGTTTGTTCCTTCTGTCCGCTGTGCTTTCAGATGAGAACTCTGTTACCATTTGAACTGCTGTTCCCTAGTTCATAATGTGTCATTTTTATCAACCTGCGTTCAAAGTGTTTTTTTGTTTGTTTGTTTTTTGGGTTTTTTTGTAGCATTCAGAAGTTTGGTTATGAGATGTGTGACATGAAATTTTTTTGAGTGTGTATCCTGTTTGGTTTTTTTCAGCTTTTTGATCTATAGGTTTATGCCCTTTGCCAAATTTGGGAATTTTTAACCATTATTTCTTGAAATATTTTTTCATCCCTACTCTTTCTCCTCTCTGGAACTCCAGTGATATGAATGGTAGATCTTTTGTTACTGTCTTAGAGGTCTCTTGTGCTTTCATGTTTACCCCCTTTTTCTGGTCTGTTTTTCCCTTTTTTTCATATTGGTTAATTTCTGTTGACTTTTTTTCAGCTCACTGATTCTTTTTTTTTTCTGTCATATGCAGTCTACTGTTGAGCTTGTCCAGTGAATTTTCATTTTGGTTTTTGTATTTTTCAGTTGTTTAATTTCCATTTGGTTCTTCTGTACATCTTTGATTTCTTTGCTTAGTTTATAATACTAAAAGGGCACAGAAAACAGACAAAACTAAATTCCAAAGTCATGGTTTTCTGGTGGTTTGTCTCAATATTTGAATAGAAATCCTGAATTATCTGGAGGAGTAGAAGTCCTGTAGTCTTTTATATTGGACTCCTTAAATATTTCTGTCAACAGATCTTATAACTGAGGGTGATCTACGTATGCATTCAGAGTTACATACTCCAGGGGAAGGTTGTATGTAAAATCCTCCAGCTCTGTAAGCCGTGTTATATCCTCAATGGAGAAGGGGTCATTCCTCTTCTAGAATCACTCTTACACTTTTTTATTAGAGCCATGCACCCTTCCCGAACCAAATTTGTCTGTGTCCTCTGTCTTTCATACTCTTGTTTAGTCTTTAACTTCTCCTTATTAACCAACTTCTTTCCCATAATCTATAGCTTTATTCAGATCTCAAGCCTCATTTCCAACCTATTTCACCCTTCCTTGCCTATCAAGTTCTGGTTATTCCTTTCTTCCACACATATGCCCTGAGTAACTGTTTTGTGCACTGTCCGCACCCCTTTACATTTCCTTTTACTCCCCAGACACTACTAAATGGTGTCCACCACCGTTGCCTGACTTAAGCAGGTCTCAGAAAGGTCCCTTTTCACCCCCTCACTCTCTTTTTGGACCTCCATACTGCTAAATCTCTGACTTGAAGGTCCTTTCCTGGCCTCTGTGAATTCCTGGCTTTTTTCCTTTGTAGGGTCTGTGTCTTTCTTCCGTCTATAAAACAGCTTTACTTCCCAGCATCCATCGTGATCATTGCTGTTTTCTGACTTGTCCTTCACCCAATGAGTGAGTTAATTCACGCTGAAGACACTTTACTCTCAATGATCTACAGAGTTTCCCTAAATCCGTGTCTCCAAGTTGGATGTTTCTCATGTCATTCCCCATTGGTCATCCTTCCACACCTTTTCTGTATTTGTACTCACTGAGCCTATAGGCATGTATCATGTGGCCATGACCTTGGTCATGGGGATGCACCCATAATCATAAGAGAACACAAACATAAAGTATTACTGTGTATCAGACATTGTTTTGAATGTTTTAGATGCATCAGCTCTTTTAACGTTTATTACAGCTCCATAAAGTTATTTCTGCCCTTTAACAGATTAGAAAACTGAGAGACAGAAAGTCTAAGGAATTTGTCAAAGGTTTCACAGTTAGGAAATTTGGGTTTGGGGATTGGAAGCCATTACACTGGCTTCAGAATCCATGTCCTCAACCACTTCATTGCTTCTCATATGGTAGGTTTTTGTTTCCTAGTCACTTATTTTTACTAAAATGGGTCAAACTGTGCTCATTTATTTATAATCTACTATTCTTATTTGACAGTATATCTTGGCCATTCCTTCAAGCAAATGAGATAAACCAGACTCACTCTTTAATGCCTGCATAAGCTATTGTGACTGTAGAAAAGACGGAGAATGTCTGGGTTTGAGGAAATGTGGGAAGGGTGGGGAGAAGGAGTAGAGAAGGGCTAAGGCATGCATGTGGTTTTAAGTGTGTTTGAGATGCCTGAAGAACATCAGTGAATCCCCCTAATTTCTGTCATTACTCAAACCAGACACATTGTGGCCATTTCTTTTTCCTTTATCATCCCCCTGTCCAACCACTGCCCCGTTCTTTTTTGTTCCTTAGTAGACCCTTAATATATATGTGTGTTTTGGTAAATGGCCATACACAGCAGGGTATTTTTTTTTATTACAATTTTCAGTTCCCTCAGCGCATTTACCACAAAGCTGTGCATATAGGTGGCACCATATATGGCATACCTTGACCTCAAAGATAATCTACATGGACTTTTATGGACCTATGTACACAATTTTAGAAATCACAATGAATGACGGCTGGAGTCCTTAAGACCTCTTCCAGATTTGGTGGTTTGCTGGGAAGACTCACAGGACTCAGCATTTTGTCATGCTCAATGGCTATAATTTACCACACCGAAAGAATCCAGAGCAAACTCAGTAAAAGGAAAAGGCTCAGACCCAAGTCCAGAGGAAACCAGGCACAATCTTCGAGAATCTTAATGAAATCACACAGGATGTGCTTCACTGAAGCTCCATCTGGGACTTCACAACAACACGTGTGAGATGTGTTCCAGGAAGTCGTCTTAGGCACCCATTGCTGCGAGTTTATATTGGACTCACTTTCTAGCACATACCACAGTTCTAGACCTCCAGAAGAATAGGTGATCAGCATAAGCCACATGTGCACAGACAGTTTAGGCACATGGAGCTACTTCTCATTACTGGGAACAATGGGAAACCTCCCGAAACCTAAAGTCCAGACTCCAGCCAAGGATGAACCTTGCAAGATCAAAGAATAGCAGTCTGTGGCCTGCTGTGTTGTCTCTTTTTCACAGTAACTTAAATGGAAAAATGCTGAGTTAGCTTAAGTTTCTGTAACATTAAGCAAATAAAATTTTCTATAACAAAAATAAGCCATAGCTTTGAGATGAAGGCTTATATACCTGTAAACCATTGTAACCAAGAAAAAAAAAATCGGAGTCACAGTGAAAATACTTAACAAACTGGCCAGGATTTAATTCAGTGATGACAGGGAACAGAGGAAGTCTTGTGAGAAAGGATCTTGCCTCTGCCTAGTATCTTTCACAGATAGGCTTCAAGTGGTTTGACTTGCAGATACACTCTTTCTTGGCCTTTATTTTGGCAAACGTGATGGGTAGGTAAATGCTGTGTTCTTTCCTTAGCACGTATGTCAGTTTCTCATCCACTCTTTGTTCTCGCTATTGAAAGTTGTAGCTTCTGGCTGCAACAGAGATAGTTGAAGAATATGGAGTTCGTCATAATTTATCATTAAATGTGGATAATTTGAGATTAAAGAATATGTTGTTACAGGCTTAATCACTTTGATGGATCTGTCTGTGAGTTTCACTTGGAGGAAGTGGGAGCAGTTGGCTCCAGCTGAGAGGGCCCTTACAGAGAGAGACATGATGCTAGAGACCTTGAGAAATCTGGTCTCTGTAACTCCTCTTTGTACTCAGACTCCGGCCCACAGACAGCCTTCCCTTTCCATTGTGGAAAGCTGGGGAGGCTCTACAATGCTCAGTGATGTATTTCAATTTTGAGGATTGAAGATTTTAAATGATTGCTAAGAGATGGATTATTTTTGCTCCTAGCAAAATCTGTGTTTCATATCTCACAATTGGATGGTCTCAGCTAAATCGTAAATGGACAGTTTCTTTTGCCTCTTTTGGAGCAGTGTCAAGAGCGTGGACCTGGGAGACAGACTATCTACTTATACTTTCTCTCCTTGCTCTTACCTGCTGGAAAGGACATTCATAGCCACTCTGCCTCACTTTAATTGGAGATCCATGTATTCACATGTGTTTTTATTTTGCTGGCTTTGTTTAGAGATAGGGTCTCACTGTCGCCCAGGCTGGAGGGCAGTGGTGTGATCATAACTCACTGCAGCCTCAAACTCCTGGGCTCAAGTAATCCTCCCACCTCAGACTCCCAAAGTGCTGGGATTACAGGCATGCGCCACTGTACTGGCTATTCTGCTGTTTGGCAAGTGGGGCGTTGCTGATCCTGAGAGACTGCCCGTCCCAGGACTAGCTAATTTTAAGTGGTAGCAAAGGACTCCCCTGGGTATGTGCCTTTGATATGCAACCCAACAATTCAGTGCCCATTCACTTCTACCACCCCCTTTATCAAGGCCTCACACATGGAGCCACTATCTTCCTGCCATAACCACTCCAGGGTCAGATATTAAGCAAGTAGGGACAGTCCCTAATGAAATTCAGGCCTGTAGTCTTAGCACTTTGGGAAGCTGAAGTGGGAGGATCACTTGAGTCCAGGAGTTCGGACCAGCCTGGGCAACATAGTGAGACTCCATCTCTACAAAAAATATATATATACACAATAATTAGCTAGGCATGGTGGTTGTATGCCTGTACTCCCAGCTACTTGGGAGGCTGAGGTGGGAGTATTAAATGAGGTTGAGGTTGCAGTGAGCTATGATGGCACCATTGTACTCCAGCCTAGGTGACAGAGTGAGAGCCTGTCTCAAAAAAATAAATAAGAAAGTCAAGCCTAACCCTGCTTAGCTTGCTTATCTTGTCTTGACCATTCTTACCTGCAAAAGCACAGCAAAGGTTCTTGCCCATGCTTTCCCCCAACTCCTGCTGTTTTTCTGATCCTCGTGCTTCCACACTGCCTGGTGTGTGCCCCTTTCTTGGGAAGTGTGTGTAGCTAAGTATCTCTTCAATGGCAGTATCTCCTGATGTGTTGGCCTCACCATGTAATTTCCATGTAATTTCTAGAGTACTGGGTATGTACATCAGGCAACACGGTATAGAACCATGGATTGGAGGATGGATCGATGCCAAGGAAGGACTGTTTAGGTGCATTACTAGGAACCAGACATCCAAGGGACCAATGTGTTGGTGGGATCCCAGTGATCTCAGTAGTCAAGACTTTAGATCTGTCATTTCTCCAAGTTGTTTGAGGTTTGAAGCAAGAAATGTCTTTCTGTATATTATTTCCCAGTCCTACCTATATCATTTGTTTTCTTGATATTCTCAGGCATCTGCATTAACTCTCTTTTCTTATGACCTAAGGCATTGCAGTTGTACAGCCTCTCAACATACCTGTTTGCCTTTCCCAGTGCCATTCCATATCCCTGGTCTTGGGTAAAATGACATGTGTTTGAAGTGTTCCCTTCTCACTCTGTCTCTTGTTGATCCCCTGGAATCACACGTAAGCAGTGGTCACCTCCTTTGCAATCTTGAGTTTCCTCCTAACGTTTGCCTTCGATATCATCATGGCCACCTACAAGCCTGTTTTTAATCTGCATATTCTTTTGTCACTTTCACCCTTTCTAAGTTATCTTTGCACAACTGACTTCTGCTTGAGTGTCAGTCACCACCACTCTGGTCTTTCCTGTGTGTGTATGGGTTTCTCCAACTTGATTATTTGTGCTTTCATCCCTCTCCTCCTTTAACAGAGGAGCCTCTTTAGAGATGTTTTCCTTTTTGTGTAATATTTTCACTTCTCCATTACCTCTTTCTTGCTTTTTTTCTCTCCACTTCCCAAACCTCTACTCTTTGTGGAACTCCTTGCTATAATGCCACTTTGACACTATGACTAAGGTCAGAAGTGACTTCATGCTTATAAATTACAAGTCCTTGTCTTTCTTGGGCCATCAGTAGAATTTGATTGTGTCTCATAATTCCTGAAATATGTTCTCTTTCCTTGGCTCTGTAACATCTTTTTCCTCGTTCAATCCCTTCCTCTCTGCCTTCTTTGTGCAGTCATCCATATCTAGCTGCCCACTCAATGTTGAAACACCTAAAGGTTTTGTCCAAGGCTCTTTTGCCTCATATGGCCTCTCCCCAGGCCGCATCTGTGCCCTTGGCTTCAGTTATCTTCCTTCCTTCGATGGCACTGAAAACAGAATACCCTAGTCTTGAGCAATCCTTACAGCTCTAGACCTGAATTACCAGTTATCTTCTTGCTATCCTCACATAGATGTTTCAAAGATACCTCATTCTTTACCTGATGTAAAGAAGATCAATAAAATGCTTCTCCCTGACTTTGATCTACTTCAGTCTTCCCTCTTTACTACATGACACTGTTTAGTTACCTAGGCTAGAAATTTCCAACTCAGCATAGTTATACCTCAATCTCTCCTTCCCTCATGTACAATCAGAAAGTTGTCTTTTTTTTTTTTTTTTTTTTATAATAAGACAGAGTCTCGTTCTGTCCCCAGGCTGGAGCAGTGGTGCGATCTTGGCTCACTGCAACCTCCGCCTCCCGGGTTCAAGCGATTCTCCTGCCTCAGCCTCCCAAGTAGCTGGGATTATAGGTGCGTGCCACCACACCCAGCTAATTTTTGTATTTTTAGTAGAGACAGGGTTTCACCATGTTGGCCAGGATGGTCTCCATCTCCTGACCTCGTGATCCACCTGCCTTGGCCTCCCAAAGTGCTGGGATTACAGGCGTGAGCCACCGTGCCCAGCCCCGTCATTTTTAATTCTTACATGTCTCCCAAGTATGTCCACTTCTCTCCACTCTACCACCTCTTCCTAGTCCATCCAATCATCATCTATCATCTCAATTACTGAGTCTCCTTTTACCCACATTTTCTCTTCATTCTCTAAGCTGAAACCAGAGAACCATCTCAGATTTAATAGTGCTCTGCTTCCCCCTCCCTGTGCCCCCACTATATTTCCTTAAAACTTTTTATGGCTTCCTTTAACTCTTGGGATAAAAACCAAATCATGGCCAGGTGTTGTAGTTCACAACGGTAATCTCAGCACTCTAGGGGGCCAAGGTAGGAGGATTGCTTGAGCCCAGGTATTTGAGACCAGCCTGGGCAACAAAGTGAGACCTCATCTCTAAAAACAACTCCCAAATCATTACATGGTCAATCCTTTGGGCTTTATCTGGTCTGGGAGGTGCCTAATTTATTACCGTTCATCTTGCATTTATGCCCTTTCTGTTTTCACTTTGTGTTTCTTTTTTCCCACCTGCCATAGGGCTTTTCTACCACACACTTTGTCCAGTAGTGCATATTTGTCCTTCATCCCAGCTAGGTCGTAAGCATTCTTTCATAAATATCTGTGTGTGTGTGTGTGTGTGTGTGTGTGTGTGCATACATGTGCATATATATTTAGGTTTGATTACTGACTCCTGACTGTCTCACCAACTAGATTTCCAGCTTCAAAAGAGCACAGATGTTAATATGGATTTTATCCTAATTGTTCCATGCACATAGTTCCTAGTCAGTATTAGATATTCAGATATTTGCTAAATGGATAAGTGGATGAATGGCCTTAATCATTTTGATATTTTAGGTTACCTATTATGCAGGGTTTACTCCCCCATACAACCTCAGGCTTCATGATTTGTTAGAAGTACACACAAGACTCAGAAAAGCTATTATGGTTATAGTTTATTACAACAAAAGGATATAGACCAAGATCACCAAAGGGAAAAATCACATAGAGTGAAGTCCACGGGAAACCAGGCACAAAACTCTGGGTGTTATCTCCCATTACAGTCACAGAGGGACACATTTAATTCCCCCAGCAAAGAGGTGTGACAACATGTCGGTGTTACAATACAAGCCAGGGAAGTTCACTCAAGCATTCATTTCTGGGGTTTTTCTGGACAGTCATTTACATAGGAATGCAGGGTCCTTGCAAGCCACACAGCCCTTGCAAAAAGCAAACATGCAGCGTGGCCCAGGGCCTCCGGCATGTAACATCCAGCATTCACCATGAGGAATATTGTCAGAAGCATTTGAACCAGAGCAACTCCATCTTGAATAGGGGCTGGGTAAAATGAGGCTGAGACCTGTGCTGCATTCCCAGGAAGTTAGGCATTCTAAGTCACAGGATGAGCTAGGAGGTCAGCATGAAATACTGGTCATAAAGACCCTGCTGATAAAACAGCTTGTGGTAAAGCTGGCCAAAACCCACCAAAACCAAGATGGCCAAAACCAAGGTTGTCCTTACTGCCCATTATATTCCAATTATAATGCATTAGCATGCGGAAAGTCACTCTCAGCAGCACCATGACAGTTTACAAATGCCATGGCAATGTCAGGAAGTTACCCTATGGTCTAAAAAAGGGGAGGAACCCTCAGTTCTGAGAATTGCTCACCCCTTTCCTGGAAAACTCATGAATAATCCAACCCTCGTTTAGCATATAATCAATAGATAACTATAAGTAGCCTTAGTCCAGCAGCCCAAACTACTGCTCTGCCTGTGGAGTAGCTATTCTGTATTCCTTTTTTTTTTTTTTTTTTTTTTTTTTTGAGACGGGGTCTTGCTCTATTGCCCAGGCTGGAGTGCAGTGGTGCGATCTTGGTTCACTGCAACCTCCGCCTCCTGGGTTCAAGCGATTCTCCTGCCTCAGCCTCTCGAGTAGCTGGGATTACAGGCATGTGCCACCATGCCTGGTTAATTTTTGTATTTTTAGCAGAAATGGGGTTTTGCCATGATGGCCTGGCTGGTCTCAAACTCCTGACCTCAGATGATTCACCCTTCTCGGCCTCTCAAAGTGCTGGGATTACAGGCGTGAGCCACCATGCCTGGCTCCTTTACTTTCTTAATAAACTTGCTTTCACTTTATGGACTCATCCCGAATTCTTTCCTGTGCAAGATCCAAGAACCCTCTTGAGGTCTGGATTGGGACCCCTTTTCAGTGACAATATTCTTAGAATAAATTATCTCATCAAATCCATACATCGAGGCCTATGGACTCAGGCTTAAAAATTACTCTTACCAGGCAAAATATTCCAGAAACTCAAGAGAACTGTCTTCCTGGAGCTGGCCAAGGGCCATTCCTTTCTTTAGAATGTATAGCATCTGAGCAACTGAAGCCTGATGAGTTCATACTTTTGTGTAGAACCCAAGCTCTGGCCCTAGCCCAGAGTCTCTTACAGCAAGACAATCATATTTACTGAGCATCTACATTTAGTATAACATTTATATAAGATACATCAGCAGCATCATCGTGAACATGATGAGCCATTGGAGCAGCTCGTGTGGGGGAATGGATAGATTTAGAAACAACAATCCATCCCATAAAGCCATTCATACTTTTCCATATATTTGTATCAATTCAATTACTCATTGTTCTCCTTGATCTACTGTTATCTGTACCTTGTGGTAAACCGCCTCCCCTCTCACTACATTGGCTTAAGTTATCCTCTACCTTGCACATCTGAAAAGAGCCAGAGCTCCCTAACAGGACTTCTCCCTCTTGCCCCTCCCATATTCCAATTTCCATAGAGTACCCAGAGTGATCCTTTTAAAACATAAATCAGTCCAGACACGGTGGCTCACACCTGCAATCCCAGCACTCTGGGAGGTTGAGGTGGGTGGATCACGAGGTCAGGAGATTGAGACCATCCTGATTAACATGGTGAAACCCTGTCTCTACTAAAAATACAAAAAATTAGCCGGGCGTGGTGGCACGTGCATGTAATCCCAGCTACTCAGGAGGCTGAGGCAGGAGAATCACTTGAACCCAGGAGGAGGAGGTTGCAGTGAGCCAAGATCGCGCCATCACACTCCAGCCTGGTGACAGGGCGAGACTCCGTCTCAACAAACAAACAAAAAACATAAATCAGATAACATCACAGCTCTGTTCAAAACCCCATGATGGCTACCCATTTCTCAGTGTTTTAGCTGTATTCTCTTATTTTCTGCATTCTTGATGCTATGGAATTTGGGACCTTGTCATTTAGAGTTAACTGATTCTTAGAGATTGCAAATGATTCACTCTGAACCATGCCTTTTATTTGCATACTAACAAATCCAGAGTCCCCTAGTGTGAATCATCTCCTCTCTCTGGCTCTTACACTACAGGAGACAATTTTTTTTTTTTTTCCCCCGAATGACTCCAGGGCCAGGTACTAGGCAGACAGGGACAGCCCCTAGACCCCAAAGTCTACCAACTTTATTCAAACTAGCAAATCCTCTTCTGATTACCCAGCCCTGCCTTTCTTTTCCTGTGGAAAACACAGTAAAGGATCTGGGCTCTGCTTTCTCCTCTGCTTCTGCTTCCTATACCACCCTGGTGCTTCTCACATAGCCCTGCAGGATGTGTTTTGCCTACTGTTTCTAAAACTCTGTAAAAATTTTTCCTTCCTGGCAATCATTTGCATGTCTGAGTTTCTTACTAGACCATACTGCAAAAAACCCCAGGTACATTTTTGAACACATAGGAACATA